GTGCTGGAACCGCTCTCCTCTCCAAATTATAGCCAAATACAGTCTTATTGGTTGAGGGGAAAAGCCTTGGCAGTGCATAAAGAGCTCAGTGTGTGGCTGAAGTGACCATGCAACTCCTGAAAATAAACAGGAATCAAATGGAGTGATTGATCGAATAAATTACTTTCAGCAGCAACCAACTCTCTTTCTCTCACACACAGACACACACAAAACAGATGCATATATACAAACTCTGTTAACCAGCTTTGCAGAAAAACACACACTTGTAGCGATTTGCTCCAGTATTCAGACCAGCTCCAGTTTTGGTATAGGCATGTTACAGAGCAGTGTGGTGGTAGTGAGGGGACAGTGGGGTGTTAGGTGATTAATATGGTACATCAAACTGTATGAGGCACAGAATGATTTTAATTGTAGGAATTTTTGTTTTGTTTTGTTTTGTTTTGTTTTGTTTTGTTTTGTTTTGTTTTGTTTTGTTTTGTTTTGTTTTGTTTTGTTTTGTTTTGTTTTGTTTTGTTTTTCACAAACTATCTTGGTCCATATACTTATCTGTCGAGTACGACCTCTTGATTATTTTATGTGAGATCCAGGAAGGTAATCAACTGACAATATGGCAGACTTGTTGAATACTCAAAGCATTTTTTAGCCCATGGTTGATTACAATAATACCTTGATGTCTCAAAAGCTTTTACAACCTAAACAAAGCAAAATAATTAAGACCTAATCTTTTGCTTTTAGTTAACATTTACAGTTATTTATACTGCTGTCATAATAAATTCATAGAGGCCTACTATAGCTTGCGCTTCAAGTAAAAAAAGAAGGTGCTTGAGAAAATCTTTCCTATCTGATTTTGTTTATGCTGCTATGTGTGTGTGCACTCTGTGATGAATATCAACTGAAGGTGATGCTTGACTCACCTTTTAACTGCCATTTAAATTGCCAGGCCCGTATAGTGTAGGGAGGGCCTGAAATGTAAACCGTCCAATCTGATGAACCTGCCAACCGGTCAGAGCCTTTCATGAGATGAACACAGGAACCCCACACAAGCAAATTCACCCACCCCTCTCTGCCCCGCCCCTCAATGACGACCCCCTCCTTGTTGCTTGCATGTGTGGTTTAGTGAAATCTCCTCCTTGTGCTATAGGATAGCCCTAGCCTCTAGGGTAACAAGATAGATGTAAACAACCAATTATTGGATAGGCCCTCATTCACGTCCCCTTAACCAGTATAGACACAGAGGTTCTGGCTTTAATAATTTCTTTCCCTCTATCTAACATTTGGATGTCTTTCCCAAAAAACTGATACTTATCAAGCTTGTGTTGTGCTTGTCTCAGGTCAGTGTATTCAGCAGCAGTCTTACCCAATCCAAGCCACATCCTATTCCTGTATACGTTAACACAGTCTATACAACACACGCACACACACACATGCATACATCTTGCAATAATCAGCTCAATTAGAGGAGGTCGTGGTGGAGAGTGGCTGAGGTGAGCAGTGGGAGGCTGTGAAAATAGGGGGTTGGCTATTAGGAGAAACATGATCTCTATTCATCAGCAGCTGTAATAATTACCATTTCAGAAACAGATCCTTCTGATCAAACTGATCCCTGGAAACAAGTGGTTTACAAACACTGTCAAGAGCCAGACATTGGACCCCTGTCACTGCCAATATATAGACACAGATCTGACCTGGCCAATCCCACTGCGATGAAGATACTTTGTATATGCAGTCATATTGTCAGTGCTTGTTTAACTCTACTCTGATTTGGCTATGGACATTTCTAATCGTTAACCTATCAAATGCACAGTGAATAAGATGTAACAGGCATTTTCAAAAATAACAAATATCAGTGTGAGCAGGAGCATGTCAAAAACACAAGTGGGACAGTTAGATTATCTGAAAGAATTTTATGTCAAAGATCTGATACCATGTAAACTTATTTTGACAGAGATGGGAAATTAGACTGAATACCTGTAAGAAGGTATGATCATATGAGAGTAACACAAAGACTTATGATGAACTGAACTGAACAGGTGCTCACACGTAGCCTCAGACCTTATTCTCGTTAAATCTTCAGTGCTGAAGTTTAAGCTGAGATCAAGACATTTGAGCAAAAAAAAAAAAAAAGCGAGAGAAAGAGAAAATAAAAAGAGTTCAATAGGGAGCATCATCAGTCTGTAAGGACAAGCGAACAAATTATTTAGCCTCATCACAAATATTTGAGTGTACAGAATAACTTCTTTGGATTGCTGCCGGTGTAATCGCAGCAGCACATTCGCCACTGGGAGAACCTCGATCATCAAACTCGATTACGGGGCATTTGGGTGTTTGCGTTAGATGAGTTGAGATGATAAGCTTTATCTGAAATCGGTTTAAAATTTCATATCAGTCAAATTTTGTTTACAGGCCTCACAATGATTTTTATTAATATTCAGAATTAAAAGTGCAAGCGCAGGGTGAAGTTAAAAAATATATATAAATATAATTATAATTTAAATATAATATATGTAAACTATTATTATTATTATTATTATTATTATCGGTGCTGTGCTTTTGGAAACCGAATTTCCCAGAGGAACCCACCCGAGGGATTAATAAAGTTTTATCTTATCTTATCGTATCTTATCTTATCTTATTATTATTATTATTATTATTATTATAAGTTTAAATTGCCCTTTTAATTTTCTCACTATCCAGGCGAGCCAGGTCGGTGCCGGTCCCCTGACGATTACCGTCAGTCAGCCTAATGCCGTAATACTCTGAGAACTGGGCTTCAGGCGAAACCAAAGTCAATTTATTAAACTGAGGGAGGACACAGGGCGGAAACAGGAATGAGGTTTCTCTTACAGGAGCCTTCGTCTGTGGTGATGAACCAATTTCACAATTACACTATTAATTTAATAATTTATTAATTTAATTTTTAAAAAAGAGAAAATAACAGAAAAACAGCAGCGACTGCGATGCCTCACTGCCTTAGCGAGAAATATTGACAATGGATTGGATGGATGGTGGACTGTGGATTGGGTAACTTACTTAAATGATTTCGACCGACAATACCATTTTAATTTTACATTGCTGCGATTTGAGGTAGCTGCTGTAATTTATTTGCAACCTTTCCAAAATTCTAAAATTCAAGTAGGCCTATGACGAAACTGCTGCTATTAAATCATATTAACAACAACAACAACATATAATAATCGTAATAATCGTAATAATCATAAGAATCATAAGAATCATAAGAATCATAAGAATC